TTCTTTGTTTCGCTTGCCGAATGAAATAATTAATTATTTTAATTAATTTTCTTCGTCGTAAAATATGCTTACTGTCCATGTGTTATATTATAACTATCGAAAATATTATTTTAAAATCAATTTGTTCCCTCGAAGTAATTTTCTCTTAACTTTCTCCTTTTTCCTTATCATTTGTCATTATAATATTTGATAAATGATTTAACGATATGATCACAAATCACAATTTCATAACATTATGTTATAAAATTATCTTTATACCTGAACACAGAGTGTTATTTTATATACTTAATTATAGAAAAATGATGAAATTATTCAACTTATCACAAATTATCATTTTCATTGCGACAACGAAACGAAAACTAAATCATTTTCTCTCGCTACTTTTACGACAAAAATACAGAATATGCAACAAGTATTACGCTATATTGTGTCGTCGTCATAAAATAAACGAAACAGCTGTATCAGTTCGATACACATTGTCTCTCGACAACATAATAACGATAATTCATCGTAATTATCAATAAAACTGTGAAACCGTATACACTCGCTTAAACATAATTCGCAGCTTCGTCATTAACGCTTATACCTAATTTACAAAATGAAAACGGATCATCACGTGTGCGATCAAATTTCGAAATATCTTATTTCCGAATAATTTATGGGAAACGACGAAGATAAAAGTGCGGAAAATCTTCGATATTTTTCTTTTCTTTTTTAACAACCGAGGGATGAAAGAAACGTTTGCATCGTGTCGACTTTGTTCAGATTTCGTTCTTCGTGATCTTCTTCTGAATCCTGGTGTCGCGTGGAATGGTGTCGATTCTCACGTCAAAGGTCTCCTTTATCGAGAACTTGGACGATTATCCCAAATCGATCAACGCAATTGATTAGCATCTATTAGAATAAGATGCTAGACTGCCGTGGGGGCTCTGAATTGTCAATGCCACTTTGCCTTCTGAGCGAATATGTCTGCTCGAAGATTTTGAGCGAAACAGATCCCCAAAATCTGGAAATAACAGTGGAAATTACATTAATGATGAAAGAAATTTGTTCAATTGAACAGATAATGATGGATCAAGTGTTAGTGCGATTAATTTGTGCTTATGATATTTTCTAAGGTAAGGTCATTCTCTTAATAATTTTCGAATTAATAATTTAAAAATTGAAGATTAAAATGAATTAAAATGATTTTTTTTTAATCGAATAAAGAAAGAACGGCAAGTTGTATTTTGGCACAAATTAATGTGTGAAATGACTTTTTTTTTTTCGTTGGCCTCGTGCAACGATTAACATCTATCGCATTTTCAAGCATTCCGTGTATATACATGCTGAAATATGTATATATATAAGCAGAATGGAATCTGTTTTACATGTGTATAATCGCGTAATTCTATGTGGAAATATAAATCGAGAAGGAAAACATTTTTTTGATTTGATTTTTGGAAAAAAAATGGAAATTAAAAATTTGCGAGATATACGTATGCGAATTTGACTCAATTATTCTCAATTGAATTATTTTTGAAAAAATGTTATTCCAATTTATCATGGAATAAGTTTTGAAATATTGAAATTTTGTTCTACATTTACTGCTTATACATATAGAATAATATTCTATTAATAATTGTAATCAAATTCACGTATTCATTATTCACAAATTTTCTCAATTTCTTTCGAATGAAAAAAATATTATTCTTTTTTTTTTCGATTTACGTGCACATAGAATCATCTATTCCCGTTGTAACATTTATTCAATCCCATTCTGTTTATTTGAATAGCACATATGTACGTTATAGTGTTTCACCATATTTCATTTTTATTTCAAAAGTATTTTTAAAATCAAAAACAAAATGGAAAACAAATTTCAATAATAAATTCGATGAATGAACAATGAAGTGAAATAGTTTGTTTAATATTCCACTCGATAATCGTGCGAATATTGAGAAATCAAAATTTCGATATGTGTAACGAAGATGTAAGATACGTAAGAAGCAAAAAAAAAGGATGTGATTTGAAAATAATAAAATATACCTGCGCAAAGGCCGTGGCAACCGCCCCAGTTACAATCGCAAGAAGATTTCGTTCGACCCATTCCTCCCCAGCTTGAATACAACCTTTTTCATAAATCACTTTGGCAACTTCAAAGTTCTGGAAAACAAAGGCGATTGGCTACTTTCGCTTACCGTGTTGTGTTCTCGAACCTCGCGAATGTAGTTGTTAGTCCAACGCAATTTAGTTTAGAAACAGCGTGAAATTCGTTGAAAGAAAAACAAAAAAGAAAGAAAAAGAAAAAGAAAAAAATAAGGAAACAGTAGATAGAATGGAAGAGGAAAGAAGTATAATCAATGAATTGTATGATCAATTCCTAAATGGAAGCCAAGCTGATCGACTTGAACTTTTTGAAAAGTTCTTAATTTTAAGATTAAAATGTTAAATTAACGTTTAAGTTTCTGAAATTCAAACGATTTAGTTGATGAAGTTGATTAATTTGCAGTTTGGGTTTTTTAAATCATAAATTTAATCTTCGATGTCATGGTAAAATTGTTGTATATTTTTGAGACTTTAATTTTCAGAAATTAACACTTTAGTGATAGTGACATAGACATATTGTCTGGCTTGTTTGTTCATTTATGACCATGACTTGCTAAGTTTTACACGTTTTTCGTCGTATTTGTTTTGTAGTATCGTGAAATGATGTATGTACATCATTCGTCTACGTCTATCCCAACTTCGCAGTTTTGTGTAACTAATGGAAAAATAATTTATTGAAAAATTCCTTGAAAAATGAAAAAAAAATAAAAAAAATCTGTCGATAAACGCACGTCTTATGCAATTTTCAAAATATTCGTTCAATTCTAACATCGTTTAATTTCTAATTCTAACTATCATCTAATCTAAATCAACGAATATAATCTAAATGGGAAAATGGAGAAGGAAAAAAAAAACTTTCTTTTTCATTTTCTTTGATAAAAAAAAAATTCCAATTTACTTATCGTTCAAATTTTTCTTATCTTAAAACGAGATCCAATTAACGTAAACTGTGTGTGGCCGCAGAGAAGTGCTCGTGAGAATAAGTAATCCAAATATTCAGAGATGGTTAGATGACTCGAAGTCACGTAGCTATCAGGTGACACGGGATCGAATGTTTGGAAGATGCGTGGGAGAATTTAGAAGTGTAATTCGATGTTGCGGCCACTAAAGAGGAGGAGGCATATTATTTCTAAAGAATTTCATCACGATGGATGACGAGTTTTGAAAGACACGCAATAATATTAAAAAATATTAATTAATTTAAATATTATATTGAATTTTAATTCGGCAAAATAAATTTTAAGCGAATCGTTTATAATAAAAATTCATTTTATTAGGATAGAATATGGAAAATATATACAATTCTACAAAGGAGGAAATATCTTGAGATGGACAATTATAAATATCTAATACTTTGATCGATAATAAAAAAAAAAATATTATTTAACCCAATAGTTTTATTTTTTTTTTTAAATATAACCATGAATATTTCGTCTTTGATTTTTTTAATTCCAATTCCAAGCATAAACAAATAAACGATAATCTGTTTGAACTTAAAATTTTTCGATTTATTCATTTGTGAAATATGAAAAAAAGGAAGAGAAATTGATAAGAAAGTAGCCGGGGGTACAAGCCGTCTGTGTAAAATGTCACGTCAGTGCGCGTAGGGTAAGTAACAAGCCCACTTTATTACAAGCCGCCTTACATCCACCTCTTAGAGTTGGGAGTAACCACGCAAAGCTTTTAACTCCCTGCTTCGACCCTGTTCTCTTTGCCTTCTTTCGCCCCCTGTCTAACTTTCCGCCCCGTTTCCAACCGGAAACCTTTTTCGCGACTTCGCTTCTATTACGATATCGCGATGTTGCGCGGCTCCCTCATTAGCAAGGTGTTAGATGCTCTAATTATTTGAAGAGTCTTCAATCCAGAAGTTTTAGCCAACATGAAAACTGCTAATTTATTCCGTCTTACTACTTCGACAATGGAAAAGAAATCGTTCGTATTTGATTGTGCTTTAAAATTAATTAATAAGATTTGTTTCTTCCGAGTGTCGTTCATTAATATTTTAACCCTTTGCAAGCGAGCATTCTGTACTTTCCATAGATTAAATTTTCTGAAATGAAATTAAAGATCTAAATATTTGTGAAAATTGTATATATTTGGAACTTTTATCTAATTTTGTAATTTTGATGCTGCTGTAGTGGTGGTATTCATCCACAAAAGATTAATTGTGCAATTATCATATATTTTATCGTGTTATTTATCAATTTTTCAGTAATTAGAAAATATAATTATTTTTCCTCGAGTTAATGGATCGATAATTTTACGTTTCAGAATTATTTTAATTTATGATCGAAATATAGTGTGCCTGTATTTATATTCTAAATTTTTAGAGACTATATTTTGCATTCTAATGAATGATACGCGGAATATCCATAGCAACGATACAGCAGTGAGATATTTCGTTCACGAAAAAAGTAATTTCAAAATAATTTTGAAATAAAAATATTTAAAACTAATTTTTACGGTAAATTTATATTTTTTAAAATAAAGTAATGGTTAATTTTCAACAAATTTAAAGCAAACTACTTAATATTACAGTTATACCTTTAAAATTCTAAATATTATACGTTGATGCAAACATTTCGAGAATGGATTTCCACGAAAATAATAACGCCATCTGTCAAAATTCAACAGAGATGAATTAATAGTTGACAAGAGCGAGGAGATAGTCGCGGCTGAAATATTTATTCGTTTACCACTTGCATGTCGTTTACGTTTCGCTAGACTTTTATTACATATACCGAGGAAGGAAATGTAATCTCCCAAATGTCACGATTATACAGCAACTTCGTCATAATTTATTGTCCTGATTATCAGCTAGGAAAATCTACTAAATATATATATATGTATGTGTGTATGTATGTGTATATGTATCATATTTTAAGCTCATGTAAGTGGTCCATTTATCATACTGCTAGGAATGGATATTTCACCTACGTTTCTATCCATAATGTTATATATTTTATATCATATATTAAGGAAGAATTAAATGGATTAAACGAGTACAGTGGATGTTAAGAAACTTTCAGATAAAATTTGTTTCGTCTAAGAAAATTAAAAAAGAGTAGTTATATGCTCAAGTGCATATATTATTTTATATGTAATATTAAATTGACGAAATTGCTCATTCTGGGATTAATATAAAGTAAAACTTTCATATTCTGTGTTGTGTACTTTCGTGGTATTTCGTATTTCCCATAAGGTCCATTTTGTTCACCTCGAATTTTTTCCAAACTTTAAAAAATTCTAAAAATATTCTCTCCTGTTTAACACTTTTGTATCTTCGTTATTCGATTTTACGTAATTAATTGTTAAAAATGTTTTTTTTTATATATAACGATTAATAATAAAATTTTGCTTGAGAAATTAAAATAAATTAAAATAATCTTTGTCCTTTTGTTCGTATCGTATATCATAATCATATATCATTAAAACTGAAATATAATAATACTACAAAATTGATAATATCTGTAATCAATTATTATATAGCATATCACGAGCATTGTAATTTACCAGATTGGCAATAATATCGCAAATGGAACATTAAATTTCAATTTATACTTACCGTTCTAAGCTAAATATACGAACTATAAATATGGATCGTTTACCAATTTGTCCACGTGCTTATTAAAATTTTCAATTACTCCTACGTACTTACTTGCTTTTAACGTAGCCACGTGAATAATAAAACGTTTTCAAACGTGCACCTGGTCATACACGTGTTGTTAACACAACGAGAATATATCATTAAATAATGTGCTCTAAGCAAATGAAATAAAAGATGCGGGTAAATAATTGAAAATACTTAAAACATGGTACACTTTACATTTATCATGCGACACCATGTTTGCAATTCGTTATTTCGACTAAGATATACATCTTTCGAATAGTTGAAACTTTCTCCCAATTCTTTTAATCAAATTGTTTATTATTATTATTATTTATGTTTATTATTATTATTTTTTTTAAATTTACACGCTATTCGTGCCTTTAATTTTTCAACATTATTCACGATTATCTTATCTAATCTTTTTTTTTTTAAATTTTGTCACTTTTATTATTCGAATTACAAATTCAGATAATCATAATTTAATGAAAATTATCATACAGAGGAGAAAGTTTGAACTCTCTCACGTAATACGATCAAAAGTACATATTTCAATATGTATTGTACCTGTAAAACCATAGTGCTGACAACCGTACCAGCGACAGGTACGAGATTCAATTCTAGCCATTCTTCGCCTGCTCTTAGACAGCCTCTCTCGTATATACTCCTCTCCCCAGTCTGCGTTTACCCAGGGTTATATGAATAAACAGAATGATTGAAAAGAAACCACCACGCTACAAATGTCATTTTGCCTTTAGAAGATTACTTTATTCGTGCCTGCGGCATGCTAATAACGCGTACAAACATCGACACCCAGCTTTTGTAATACTGTGTCACCAGCTAGCTATTTTATCCTTTCTATCTTTCACTCTCGTGTCACGTTTGCCAACGTAATACCTACTTATCAGTGAATTATATGTTCGCTGGCAACCACAACTATTCGAATAGTGGAGAAAATTTTGAACTACTTGGATACAGGGTGGAGAGGATTAAGCGTTACAACGTATTCACCCCGAATTGAACGAGAACAGATGGAGAGAAATTTAAAAATTTAGGGATGAAAAAGATGGAGATAGAAAAATTTACAACGAGTCGAGGAATTAGAAGGAATTTTTTCTTTCTTTTTTTTTCAAATGGAACGGTAAACTGTCATTGAATAAAACATCTTTTTAAACACTTTTTTAAAACCTTGTCTCTGTTTTGCACAGTTGATTGCATTACAGTGAAAAATATTTTAACAGGATATGAGAAATAAAAGAACATTGAATTTATCTTTTCATATATCCTCTTACGTTAAATTTCACTATAATTCTACAATTACGTGAATATTAGGAAGATTTAGATATATAAATAAATAAAATAGTATATAATTTATATATAAAATAAAAATTTGGGTTAGTTTTAAAGAAAACAGTATGTAGTATTATATTTACTCCATCCTGTATGCGACGAGCACGCTACTAATTTAATATATATTCTGTATAATAAATTTATTTTTCAAAAATTAATTATTGCGCTATATTATTAAGATTTTAGAATGCAAAGCGTAAGAAATAGCGGATACTATTTTTACTTTAACCAATATCTATATTCGAAGTCATTAATTAATGAATGTTAATAAATAAAGTATATATATCTATTATAATAATAATAAGAAAAAAAAAGAAAGCAGAGAAATGAGAAATGATTTGAGAAGAATTGCAAAAAATGATGAAAATGAAAATGTCGTTTCAAAATAGACGAATAATGGTACGATCAATGCGATAAATTGACGACGATATAAGAGCTTACTTAGCACAACGTTTAGCCTTAAATATTACATGGAAATTATTATTTGAAAAAAAATTACTCACGTAGCTAGGTTTCCTAACATCGTAGCCGCATTGTTTATTTTTGATAATCTCCTGAAAATGTTAAAAAAAAAGAAGAAAAAAAGTATTACTAAACAATTTACAAGACAATTTATATTGCAATTAAATCAGTTTTCAAATTGAATTGAATTATAAACACACACAAAAAAAAAGGAAAAGTTATAGAATATTTTTTATATGAAATGGAAAGAACGGAAATTACATTTGGTTTTCGTTTACAACAGCTAAAAGGCACGCCGCACGCTTCTCTCGAGCCGATGTCGCTCGATGAACAATTGAAGTAATTGTTGCGATCCCAGTCTTTAGGGCCCTCGATGCCGCAACACTGTAACTGTGAAATGGATAAAAAGTGTATTATCGTACTTTCATCGAAATCGATTTTCGATAAATTTATTTTCAAAATAAAAAAAGAAAAAGGAGAGAAGAAGATGAAGCATGACGCATTGATATCGATATAATTTAGATAATTTCAAGTTACGAAGTTCATTAAAGAGAAGAGAAGTTTTTTAACGACTGTTCGTAAAAACTATATGTATAAAATACTAGATATCTTCTTTTGATCTCGTAAAAAAAACTGGCTTTAAAAAGTTTTTGATAGCATCAATTTACCATCCCTTCACTTTTTCCTTCTTTGTTTCAAAAAAAAGTAATAATCCTTTTTTAAGATTATTAATATCCTGCAAAGCAATCGATGTTACAGATTTCAAATCTATTTCAATTTAATATTTTAAATCATATTATTAACCTTAACGTGAAAAATAGAAGATCCTTGTTCGATTCTATCGTCAGAAAATCAAAGTATTTCATCGATTCGTATAGAAATGCAAGCGCAGCTGGAATAGCGATGGTGGTAATGATGTTGCAAGGGTTTGAATCAACGTAGGATAAAGAGGATTGGTGCTGCAGTTTCACTATTGACAGTATTGCCGGAATTGTGGTGGCATGCCGGCGTTTCCATTGAAATCTCGCAAACCACAATTGATTGGCAAACCATTAATTATTGAGTACTGCGACAAGACTTTAGCTTAGATATTTTTAACATCGCAATTTTCATTGATTTTTATTTTATTTTATTAGATTAATGGAACGATTCAATTCCAATGTAAATTGTTGAGACACATTTCTTGTATCTTATATTTTTTTTACAAAATACTCATACCATATATACGTGACATGTACTAGTGTGCAATTTATAAATAAATTAGGACAATAATGAGATTTATACTTGTCGAGTAAACTGTTTTCTTAAAATATATATTTTGAGAGAGATGGCAACGATAAATTCATAAAGATATAGCAGAATTTGTAATTATAACTTTAAAACGATGCTCGAAACTATTCTAATCCCTTTGGAAGAGCATTGTTAATAGATTTGCAAGCTTTATTACCATTGCGCACAGTTAAAATTAAGCAAATAATATAAGCTTTTTCTAATAATATATCTATAATATTCTAAATATATATCAAATACGTTTATCTACTTTAACGCAAAATTCTTTTATATTTATTATTCTCTAAGATATTATACATACCCAATCCTCTTGAATCCAATCGATGAGATTCTGTTGATCAGGATCTTCTCTATAATGAATGATAAAAGCTTGGAACCCACCAGTCGCTTGTGACTTTATCTGCACATCAAATTAGTATATTTAAATTTTAATTCAGTAACAGGTTATTTGATAACACGAGCCATTCATTCATTTATAAGATATATATAGATGTGTATGCATATGCACATTTAGATAAATATTTAATGAAACTTACCCAGTCTTTAAAGATAAAGCCTAATATACCAGCTGCCATCTCCATTAACAATAGTAACGCCAGAAATATCGCATACTGAAAGAAAGTTGTATAAAATTATAATTCCTTTTGTTATATTAGATTTTAATTCATAAACAATGTTATAAGTATATGTATATGACAATTAGAAATATCATTTTCATATTAAAAATGTTTGAAAAGCATTATAACTTACTTACACGTTTTTACAACAATTTAAACCAAAAAAAGGATTTTTCTTTTCTTCAAATTTTTTAATTCGCAAAGAATAATTTTTACAAACATTATTAATTTCATTTAATTTTACTCTTTGCCCGAGAAGCGACAAAATACAATGTAGGTACTTGAGAAAACTTGAAAGCCGATTTTGTACTTTCGTAGTAACAAAGGGAGCAATTTAAGTTTTTTCTCCTTTTTTAACGAAACTTTGCCAGTTTGTAGAACTCTTAAACCAAGTTCTTCTATACTATCTTTTCGTCGCAGATGACTAATAGTTTATGACCGATAAAAAATTAAACTTAAATCATCATTTACACTATTATCCTCCGGATAATTATAACAATAAAAAGAAAATTAAATATTAAAATAGTATATAAAAAATAATATATAAATAAGTAACTATAAATAATAAGTTGACAGATATATTTTTTATCTTTATTTATATTCATTTTCTATTCATCTTAGTCGTAATAATTTATAAAAACTAATATTGTAAATTTTAAAAATTAAACATAATACTTACAAATAATAATTATTATAAATTTTTCATAATTTTCACAGATGATCTAACAAAAATATACGTAGAATTTTAAATCGTATCTATTAATGTAAATAATATGATCATCTTACAAAAAAAAAAGTATCTGTGCTTAATGCTCATTTAATTAAGTTATGTAATTCACAAATATTTTATTATACGTTTAAATGCTTACCGTAGCTAGGAGGCACGTATTTTCCCTGAGTGCACCGACACATCCCGTAAATCCAATTATAAATGTCACTGTGCCTGTAAATAGGAAGCAAAAATCTATTTAAAATGTATATTTTAAATTGCACGTTGATATTTTATGACCGAATCCTTCTGCTAATGTAAAAATAATAAAAGATTGGTTTGGGAAATAATTTTGCACAATTTTTGTGCAAATGACATTCTTTTAAATATTCTTTCATTCGCTAAAAATAAAGTTTTCCTTGTTACATAAAGAAAAGCCGTTTTAATCTTTTAAGTAACCTGTTGAAAGCAGATTACATTGCGCCCAATCATAACTTTATGGTAATAATTTGTTTATTTAGCTCTTTTCTTTTGAAATTATTTGAATTGCTTTAAATTGTGTGATTCATTGTTTTATATTATCAAGGAAAAAGTGCAATAATAATAAACAATAAAAAAAAGAAAAAATTATGAAAGATACGATTTTTCTCCAATACTAAAAAAAAAAAAAAAAAAAAAAAAAAAAAATTTTAAAAAATCCATTTTTTTCCCATACTTAAAAAAAAAAAAAAAAAAAATATAAGAATATTTCAATTTTTCAATTCTATTTTATCCATTTATTGCAAAATAAATATAGCTGTCAGAAACATAATTTTCAAAAAATAATTTAAAAATAATGAAAATAATAATTGAAATTTATGAGAATTATATAATATTTTCTTATCAAATAAAATACGAAATAATTTAAAATTCTAAATGTATAACTTTGCAATTCTAATGATTTCTCTACAATTAAATTAATTATAAATATACATTCGTTGAAAAGTTATTAGCATATTTGATGACTGTAAATAAGTACTCTTCCATTGCAACCTTGATGATTCTTTTCTTGGACAGGATGGGAAGATAATAAATTACGAAATTTTCCCCAAGCCTGATTGTTCGGTCAGTAGTCATTAAATTTATATCTTTAAACTCATGAGAGCGAGACACAGAAACGTGTGAATAATTTTTTTCGATTAAATTATTCCAATCTTTCAAAATAAAGAAAGTCCATTTATCATATTATCCATTGCTTCAATTCTTCCAAAATTAGAAGTTTTAGAATTAAATTATCGTTAAAAAATAATTAAAAAAAGAAAAGTAATAATTAGAAATTCGAAATAAATTTCTATAAATATGGTCTATACGTTACGACTACATTATAAAAAAAAAAAAAATATCAAGAAAAAAAATCCATTCTTTTCATAGATTAAACACCTAAAATAAACACCGTGAAACGAGTTAGTGTGCTCTTTGTACGACGAATGGAACGGAACAATGATTATCCTTAAATCGGATTTTTGCTTTTTTTCAAAGTCGGCCGTCAGTCTTTCCGCTTGATTTTTGTCCTTTCGAAATCAGTGGACCAGATCGCGAGAAAATTCGATTTGGTCTGTTACGATTCCAGGGAACTGGTCTCCGCCAGAATGTTTGAATTACTTGTAGGACATTCGTGAATTCTCACCATTATGCTCGGCTACATCGCGGTTAACCGATCACGAGTAGCTTTCTGCCTTCTATGTTGGAATTTCTCTCTGTACATCCCTGATAATCCGACTTACAACGCTTTGTTGAGCCTCGAATGGCGGAAAATCAGTTGGTCAACTATTACGTCGTACAACATGTTGCCTTCTCAGTATGAGACAACAAATGCTAGTAATAATAATAATATAGTTAGTGGTCTTGGATTTCTGGACATTTCTCGAGAAATCCTGGACAAAATTTATATTTTTCAATTATAATGTAGGTAGTATTTTATCGAAAATTATTAATTGAAATTTCAATTATTAAACATTATTATTTTTATGTGTGTAGATGAAATATCGATTAATAATATTATAGAAGAATATTTTAACATTTATTATAGTTTCATTCGATACAATCCAATTTGAAAATTCATTTTCGAAAATGTATTATAAAATAAATGAGATTTATATATAATCTTTCTCAATTTAAATTTCCGTGGAATTATTATTATTTTTAATACCAAAGTATATAAGTAAAATTTAATGGAATTTATTAATGATTTTATACCTCGTTTTAACATATTTTGTAAAAAGGGATGTGTATGCAAACTTGAACATAACAAAATACGCAGGATATGAGAGTCATTTGCATGCAAAACGGAATATGCATAATCCTTGACCACTTTTTGAATGCTAAGGGATCCATATGGTCCAGGTATCATATGGTACCTGTTCATATTATGACATATGGTGCAAGAAACAAAAGGACAAAGGAATTACTAAATTTTGGATTATATACACATATTATAAATTATTGATTATTAAAAAAACTATATTTTTCACTCATGTCAAAAGTAAACATAAAAAATTACTATTTATTATTAGAAAAAATCAACCTCTCTTAATATCTATAAAGAATTTTAAATCAAAGATCATCTATTCCTTTCTTTTATCAACAAAACAGTTTGATACTTATATAAAATTAATTATTCTTTTTCATTTCAAGTTCGCCATTTTGTTTCGAAGATATTAGAGATATAAATGTATTCATTTGCTGCAACAATGATACAATTTGAAAATTACAATATTAATACAAACATGTTAAATATTTTGTATGTTTATATGTTAAAAATTTCAAAAACAGAATTTGAAATTTTTCTGTATTCATAATTCATTTATTCTGTAAGCTGTAAATTTTAAATTGTATCATTATAACAAATTAATTCGATTTTTAAATATTGTATATGGATATTTCTTTTATCTTATTTTTATTACATTCTCCTTTCTTTTTAATTATTAACAAATGTATGTCATTCATACATAAACATTGTATTTCTGAATAGAACACTATCAATATATTCATCAGTTTCTCTATTGAAATTTTAAAGCGTTGAATAAATTTTTTGCAGTTTACTCAGACTGACTTCAAGTATAAAAATCTTCTTTTTTAATTCTGTGTATGATGGAACTTCGTGCATCCCAATTACAACTGACCTGCTTTAAAGATCAGACCGTCGCACCCTTTTTGATGCTCGTCACGAGCACTTATCTACCTACGCTACCTCCATCCTTCCATTTAAGAGTTTGTACAGTTAAAAGTTTGTGTAAGAATTAAACGAACCAATCATCAGTTCCTATTTTTCTTGTTTGAAGAAGAATCATTAAAACCTTGTCCTACTTTGGCTTTCCATCATTGAACAATTGAAAGTGCAATTTTTGCAAAGATAATTTAAAAATTAATTGATCGCAAATTATCACGATAAATATATTTTTTTTCACAATAATATCATTAATAGTTTAATAACATCATATCATTACATCATATAATAAAAAATTCAATCATCAAATATTAATTTATTCCAAGATTGAGACACAATCGATCGTTACTTTGCAAGTCTTAAGAAGGAAAAAAAAAATCTGCAGGTTTCAATTAAGACGCTATAAAGATGAAACGGACTTTCAATTAAAGAAAATATCTTTTAATTCTTAAATTTTACCAATGATAACTTTAACGATATTTATCTTAATCGAAGAATTATCGAAAGCTTAAAAGACACGAGAATATTACTCCGAAATTTCATCGATGAGACCAAAGCACTTTGACACTTGTTCAGATATCTTCATTCGCATAGATCAACAAGTTTGAAATGGATCAAAAATTTTAAATGAAAGAGAACTAATATAAATTATTACTCACCGACTAGAATGAGGATAAATGCTGGATCGAGTGCTACATTCGTGAGCCTAGACAAATTGTTGAATGTGTCTTTTTCGGTCCATGCCCATACACCTACAGCCATAATACCCAAACCCAGCCACTGAAACAAAAGAAAAAGAAAAAAGGATTTAAAAATAAATAATAACGAGCATATTGCATCGTAAACGAGCCATTTAATTAAAAATCTTAAATGATTTCTTTTTTTTATTCACTTTTCTTGATATTATTAATTAACAATAGAGAACAACTATATTAGCGAATAAAATTCTGAAATAGTTTTTATTAAAAATTCAATTTTAAGCATGAGAAGGGAAGAAGCTTATTTGCCTTGTTATAAAAGAGGATTAAAAGTTATTGAGAAATATTGCTCCAGGAGTTCAAGCATGTCTGCTTCGTTCTCGGTTAATTCCACTAGGTGAGAAATATGTAGATTTCCTAAGCCGACGATTCACCGAAATGAATGTACTCTTAGGAGAACATCACCTCTGGGGGAAAGTCTCTCGCGATCTCTAGCTAAGCTTCTCCACAATTTCCTCGGTTATATTTAGTCATACGTGAACTTAATATCTGCCCATTCGATATGAACGAACAATTCTTATAATTAAAATTTTTGCAAATTTTTATATTAAGCTAAAACGTGTCTAAATATTCTAACTTGGATACAGAAAATACGTTGTATTATGCAAATCATTAAATTACATGTCTATGTACTTTATAGCATTGCAATAGTATTATTTTATTCACAAATAAAACTTTACTTTTCGTTTAAAAAATAAGAATAAATTAAAAGTTTCGTTATCAAAATATACTCAGGAAATAAAGGAAAACATGTTCAAGTCATTTTTTGTTTTATTCCGAGATTTATATCTCAATTGGTTGTCGAGATATAAAGATTCAAAGTTTCCATAACTCTTGAGACAATGCAATTGAGATTATGAATGGACTTATTATCCAGATTTTTTTTTAAAAATACATCTTTCTAAGATGTGAAATGACTATCACATTTTTCCAGACTTTAATTTTTTTTATCACTTATCTGGAGTTTTGAACAGATGCGAATGAGAAATCCGAATAAGAATGAAATAAAGTAAACGATTAAAAATTATCCTTTTCTTTATAATGATATCTCTGCAAATCACATCAAGATAAATGAGAAAGCCTTTTGAAGGATAAGATTTTATTCTTCTAATAAATATCGTTTATTCGTTACTATCTTCGAAGTTACAACGATTCAAAGTTTTTCTAATTTTAGTAAGATTTAAATGATGAAAAATTATTTACACGATATCTTAAGAACCGGAAATTGTGTATAATATAAAGTGTGTATTGTGATAAAATGTGTATTGTGATAAAGTTCTGCGTTTTTAATGATTGATGATTAATGATTCAAAGTTTCACCGGAAGTCACTATCTTTGAGTCACTATAATTTCAAAATTCATTTTTTTTTAATTTTTAGATTTAATTAAATTATATTATAAATTTATTTATTTATTATACGATTTTATCATATATTATATTTCATTGTAGCTATGTTGTTTTATACATATATATATGTTACAGTAAATTCTGTGATAGGTTATTATAAATTGAGCCCAAAGGATTAGAAACGATAATCCCACAAAATACGGCGTTATCTACTAGTTTCAGATAGTATATGGTAACTATTCCTATTTAAGCCAATTCTGTTAAATGACATATAGTGCATTCATATGTTAATTATATAAATCTGAAATTTAATGTAAATGATATAGATTAATGAAAATAAAATGTCATATTCTAGTTTAATAAAGGCATTTACAATTGTAAATTATAAGATGGAATAATACCTTTCAAAAAATATTTACGTTTCACGTAGATAAAATATTTACAGAATTAAACTACTAAATATAGATTGTACATCAAATGTCGAGTTATATTTATAAATTAAGCGGAATTAAACTCAATTGTTTTCAATCGACTATATTTATCGAACGAATTACTGTAACGCGTTGTAACGTTGAAAACGAGGTCAAGGAAGATACAATAATTTGTTTAAACTTTTCTCATTTCTTTTCCAAACTAAACTCACCCCGAAAATGAATTTATCATTGAACACCCTCTATATTTTTCTATTTGTCCATTAACGCATACCAGCGCATCGAAATTGATTCGATGCGATCAGTGGACAACCATCTGCCATTCCGCAATAATTCGATGAACGTGGTAGTGGTTTTCATACAGTTTAACCTGGAAATGTTGCTATTCGTGCAACATGGGAACAAAAACATGTACAAAAGCCGTAAAAATTTGTTCTCCTTTTTTTTTTTTGTCTATCGATCACGATGTACCTATATCAAATTCTTTGTCGTGTAAACGTCCACATGTACACGTAAAAAAAAAAATGCTTTCCATATCGTTTTCGAAATCCCATTTCGAAAATCTCGTTCCCGGATGCAAAAAATTTATCATGTGAAACGTGAACATGAAAAAGAACCGCGATTGTTATCGCTATCGTTCCGAGTTAACGGAAATAAATAGAATTTAATTTAATAATCACGATTGATAAAAAGACGTTTAATCACTAATTTTGATCGACGAGCGGAAAGTGTTTTATCGTTAATGATTGAAAATAGATATTTAATTTTTAACGCGTGTTTAATTGTTCACGAGATCGATAATGCTTACGGTTAGAAATATTAATCATTCAAACGTTTTCCTTTTGATGATCCAAGAAATTAATGGTTATATAACAATGGTTTTATAATAATAGTGATTAATCGCCAAATTATCAATTGCTAATTTCTATTGCTAATTTCTAAGTGACAATAGATTTTTTATTATTAACGATTGTTTCGTCGTATCGATCTATATTCAACTGATTATCCCGTGTGAAAATTGCCTCGTGTATTTCGGCTAATACCGATATTACTTCCGAATCGCGCCACAGATTTCCAATAATCGTTGGATACGATTCTACGATTCCACTAAACTGTAAATAGATACATCAGCTGTATCGAAGGTCGAAAAGGTACGAGATTTGTACGAGATCATCACGGTTAGATGATTTTTCGAAGATATTATCTTGCAAAAAATTGTTATTATCAATCGTCGAAATTAATAATATTTGTATTAGACGCAATTTTATATCTGCGTTATATGATGAAACGGATGATTACATTTCCTTGAAAATCCAGACGATCGAATAAGATGATTACAATCCAGAGAGTTAATAATTGATTGCCCTCACGGTCGATGCACTCGCCGGAAAGTATAGATAATCGATCGAACTGTCTAACATAATAAAATGTCTGGATATTAGATATTAGATACTGTCAGTCGATCACATCGAATTATCGTGCAATAACATAATGCGAATTATAAATGCATAATGTTATAACGTAAGCAAATGAACCGTACATAATGTTTTAGCTAAAAGGATTATTTTTCACGAGATGAATTGTTTATGATACAATTTGAATCAGATTAAATTCGATAATATTTAATAAGGAATATTCTAAAAAAGAAATTTTTTGTCGGATTATTTTTTCTTAATTTTCATAAGATTATTAATATACTTTTAAGATATTTCTTTGTATTCTATATAATGTATATTCTATAAAGAAGATGATAAAAATCATGATTTAAAATATATGAATAAATATAGAATAATAAAAGAAGATAAGGAAATATATATTTATATAAAAATAGGAATGATATAAATCATATTATTCGAGAAATTATAGAAGCGTATATGTATTTTTAGCAAAAAATATTGGGTAATTTTCAGATAAATTGCTTAACGAAATATTTCCTGAAATACTTCCTAAATATTTATTGAAAATATCAAATTATTTCAATATCAATTTCATCGAGATAAATGGTTCGATTTCTTCGAAAAATTAACACAAATGATATCCTTTTAAAAGTATTAAAAATTTGTCTATTGAAGTGTATCAGATATATGTAAAAAGTGGAATTAATCGATTTCACTTCTGAAAGATTCAAATAAAAATGAAAATACGTTGAAAGATAAAAAATAGCATAGAGATTAATTCACCATCTCGATTTTGATAATATATCCTTCGCTGATCGCTTCTCTCTCTCAGCATTTTTGGTTTTTGTACTCTTACTTTGGTTAGTAATCAATACACTGTCCGCATGCGTCTAGACCTGTTTACTCTCTTCGGTGCTGTTACGATGCATTGAAATTTTTATTCTAGGCAATTGATATAGAAAATCTTCACTTATATTTCTCTCACATGATTCTCTCTTTAATATCTATGTTCTTAAATAAAGGAAAAAAAAAATTTTAATACATTATTATATTCTAACAATAATAATTGTAATCAGAATTGTTAAAAGAACTAACAGGATATAGAAATGTTTAATATTTGAAAAAAAAAAGAAGTGTTAAAAGTACAATTGATTTTATTTTCCAACAATAAATTTCGAAATTTGAAATTTTGATTTCAAAGCTAGCAAATAAATTGATGAATTTAAAATTTGTAAATTCAAATTTCTGAAAAAAAATAAAAATAAACAAACGAACATCTCTCGTATGAAAAAATATTATTTTTTCCTTTCGATTTCGTTTTATTGCGAAATTATTTTTCTTTCTCTACATATATATAATTTATATTTTTATAATTTAAATTGTGAAAACTTTTCAAAACTTTCCATTTTTGTTAATTAAATTCGAGATTCTACGCTTTGAAATATGTGCTCGTGATATAATTCTAATCAGAAACTAACATAGTCCTCAAGGCGGAACCTAACTTTCACTTCATTTGTGAGGGGTGACTCACATGGGCTTTTCCCGCAAAGTGTATTTCGAAGAAACGTGTTAAACAGTTTATGGTAGTGCGAATATTTTTTTTTGATGATGATTAAACGAGATATTCGAATTTGATTATTGTAAAATATTACATTTACATCACATTTCAAATTTCTATAAAATAATATTAATAAAACTCTGTATTAATAACTCTGTATATTAATTCGAATTTCAAAATTCACATTTTAACTTGTTTTTACATGATAATGAAATGTTATAAATATTTTAATTTACTATTTATATTTTATTTATTTTTTTTTATTTTAGTTTATTATTTAAATTATTA